ATTGCAATATTGATTGTTCGGATCATTGGTATCTAAGTCTTCTGCTGTGCTATTTTATACTTTGTATTGAAAGGTCGGTTCTTGTTCTGGTCTGCACCTATACGGTATGCAACACCCCCCCTAGACCAGCTGTAGTTGGGGTTACTGAGAGACAATGCTGCACGTCGGCGCTCCCAAGGGTTCCCCAATGCGAAGCAGTTGGACTGTAGTGTTTAAAGCTTGCCAAATCAGTCTGGTCCTTCGAACACACCTTTGTACCCAGGTGGTGATCTGTCCGCCTGCATATGCTTCAACTGCTCAAGTGTGCATGGTGTCACAATTGGTGCAAATTGACTCTTGCAGAGAACTTAGCCACGAGAGGGGCCTGGGACCACTTGCCCGGCCGGGCAAAACAAAAATGAAAAAATAACATTTTCCATCGGGTGTGGGTGAGTGATAGTCTGCTTTGATTTTCGTCACAGGTACCTTGAAGGCAATGGTTGGTGCCCACCTCGGGCTATCGGTTGCCAGGCAGTTGTTGATGCCTAATCACAACCAGGGTGAAGGTGGATTATCACTTACAGTGAAATCAGTTAGGGGATTCTGCACTGTTGAGGATTCAGCCTCCTGATGAGTCGGTGAAACTCCGACGTAACAGTTTGTGACAGCCCCTTGTTTGTTGTCCTTCTCTCCCTCTCTGCCTACGGTTTACCGGGCAGCTCTGTTTGACGATATATCGCCGAGGTTGGTCAAACAGATATATTTTATTATTTTTTTAATTTAATTTTTATTTTAAAACTTGGTAAAGAATTCCGATGTGACCCTGAGGCAAAAGTTGTTCAGTTTATTTTTCTGCGTAACTTTTTTTTTTTCTTTTTTTTTGTTGCTGAACTTGCTGGAACCTTGTTTGGTCCTTGCACAGTCGGGCGTCCCGAGCAAACAAGGTGACCCGGGTGGCCCGGCTGGGAGCCTAGTGAACAAAACTATCCTGTTTCTCATCAATTTTTGTTGATTGGGCTCTGATGGGCAATTGGTTTGATCTGTGTCCTCCAGAGAACTTCCAGTCACAGGAGGCACTGGCAAGCAACGTGTTTGGGGAGCGAATGAAGATGAGAGAGGACTACCTTTGCTTCTGTATTGCAGGTAAATTTGTCCGGACTTTGGTCTCCCAAATGTTGACAGTTTACATGCCCATTCTTCTTTGAACAGGGGAGCTTCTGAGCAACAGTCAAATGGCGTATGCACTGGAGGTAATTGTACTAGTACTATGACCATGGCTACGATGGACCTGGACACCGGACCAAGCCAGAAGTCTCTGGCCAGACCTCTGTCTGGATGGCTCCAGACCGTCCAGATCGAACCCCCCCC